AAATGTTATTGGAGACTGGAAATCTTACTTCAATAGTGCCATTATATAACAATAATTAATATGAGAAACTGGAAAAATTTTGCAGAGGTAGATGTTTTGGACTAGAGTGGTTCTACTTCCAGAGATTCTCCTGCTTACTTGCATTCTACCAAGCAGAGAACTAGCCCGCAAAGTGCAGAAAAGTACCAGTAAAAGAAAATAACACTGAAATTGATAGAATTTTTAATAGTAAAATTTTGTGCTTGCTTACATTTGTTACTGTTGAAAGCCCTTGAGGGATTATGAAGGCTAAAACATAAGTAAAATTGTTGCCAATGGCTGTAAAATACCTTGCTTTGGTTTGGAAAATGTATAAATTTTCAGTCAAACTATTAGTTTCACTGTTTATGTTGGTAATTTTACCACCTCAGTGCATTTATTAAAAAAAAAAAAAAGGAAAATAAATGAATAAAATTACCTGGTTAAGATTGCACTGACTCTAAATGAGATATTTTTCCAATTTTAAAAGTCAATTGAATTTATTTACCCTGATTTTATGAAGTACTTCTTGGTGTGTGTTCCACAAGACATGCTATTTCCATGCCCTTTTACTAGATAGATGTATATGTCATATGCCCTGTTAAACTCAAGGGGTTAAGCTAGTGAAGTTACCTATCTCAACACATGAAAAGAAAGAATTAGCCGCAGTTCCCTAGCTACTAGCGTAGCTTTCAACACCTTTTCTATGGTTTCTACTATTGATAGGATATATAACTGTGAGAGGATGAGAAAATGCACTAAACTGATCTAAGAAGAAACTATCAACTTGACATTTTTTCTAGCCATTGAAAACCTTTCCCTATTGCAACTCGTTCTGACAGTGAAACTGTAGAATTCCTGTGATTTAAGTACCATCTGGTTATGCTCAAAGCTTTAAAGCTATTATCTCAGCATAAAATTTCAGTGTCCTATACTTTTTTCTTCGCCAAACTATCCATTTTTAAGCCACAAATATTTTTCCAGTCCCTTCAGATTTTATCTAAAAGTATATTTTAACAGTATTTAAATAGTTCTTAAACAATAACAATTTATCTTGATAGATGACATGCTGTGTTTTTTCATTTTATTTTAATTAGCTATTGTGGAACCAAATTCCCTTTTGTTTTATTCCTTTGAATACTGTTTAATTACAGTTATCATGCCAAATATCTTAAAGGTTATTTTACCAATACAGTTTCATTTAACATAAGCCATGTGGAATCAATAGTCCTGTTTCCTAAAGTGAATGCTTGGAAAATCTTACATTCATATGTTAAGAGTACACATCCTTTCCTCATTAGTTGGAAAGTACAGGGATTTTGGCACAGGTTCTGTGTGGAAGCATTGTGCAGCTTTTATATGGATTTTGTTTTTAGCCTTTGATGACACTGTTTAGAATAGGAAGTATCTAATAAGTAAAGCATTTTGTCTAATGTGCTGCCAGTGTGTTTAATATATGCCTGGAGGTCTGAAACATTATCTTCTCCACTACAGTAATATGCATTTAATTCTCTGAAAGCAGAAGGTCGAACTTTTAAAAGGGACTCAAAGTACATTTTCAACTAAAATAATTCAAAACATATGGGATAGGGGACCAGAGTAATGTACAGTTGGTTTTTATGGTTTAATCATGATCATGTTAATGCACACCAGTAGCTAATTAAAGAAAACTTTTATTGTTCATTTTAAATGGGTTATGTAAAGAGTAAGAGAATTGATATAATACAGCCCAATGATAAACGTTACCATTGCATTTGCTAACAGCAAGCTGATATTGCTGTTCTTGACATCTTTAAAGTATCGGCCATTTATTCCATAATAAAGCAAAAATTCTTGTCAGAGTTATTATACTAAGAATCATTCCCTCTCGTCCCCTTATCCTGTTCGAGGAATACCTAAATGGTGTCCAGGTTTATTCTTAGGCATATCTTAAAGTTAGCTGTGAATCTTACTTGGACCCCTTGGCACTCCCCGACCTGAAAGAGAGGCAAAAAGTCTCAGTCATGTTTCTGCACCTTTGTTGGGCACCCAGTAACATTACAGAAAAACTGTCTTGCACATTTGCTCCGACCTTTGTGGTATATATGGTAAGAGAGGACGTAAAGCAAAATTTCAGTATGGAACAGAGTGGCATGGAAATATGTAATCGGATACGGTGCCTTTCACCTTTTGGGCACTGGTTCATATTCCATGCTGCTTAGTGCTGAGCAGAAGTTACCATATGACTGCCGTGCAGTGACCTATGTGAATTGATTTGGGGGTCTCAGTAATGTTTCTGTTAGTTGAATATGTCCACATAACAGGAAACTCAACAGTTGGGACCAATTATCACCTTTTCAGTAGTCTTAGCACAGAAACACAAGTCTGAACAGGGTTGGAAGCAGAGCCGCTTTCCCACTTTCCTGTAGGTGCTTCACACAAACCAGAACATTTGGTAAATATTTAGTTATAAAAAGAGGCAGAAGAAAAGAACGGAGCTTTAACTCAGACCCGTCTGGGTCTGAAAAGAGATGGTGCATTTGCAAGCCAGCAGCACTGCGGTTTCTCCCTGCGTTCAGCCGCCCGGCCCCTGTGTCCAGCACCCTGCGCGTCCAGGCGCTGCAGCCGCTTCTGCCGCGTGCAGCGGACGAGAGATCGCCACGGGCACCCCCAGGGCCCTTCACTGCAGAAACCTGCCCTCTATAAAGTATTTCTTAGGACTGATTTGGAAGTTGTGGAGCAATTACTGCTGGTTGTAAGAGCGTACACCCGCTACTTTGCTTCAGGCAGCATTTCCATCAAACGATATGGCAAGATTTTTCACTGTTTGCCCTGAATACATAAGCAGTAACCCACCCCTTAGCATTTTCAAAGCATCATCAGTGCAGGAAACGGGCAAAGTACTACAGAGTTTTCCAGACTAGGAGACTTAGGTGTAAATAGTCTAAATTTGCTAGCATATCAGGAGGAGTCAGGATTTCTTGGCTCGCAGCGTAATTCATTAAATCAGCCTCTAGTTAAGTTATTTTTACAGAGGCTGCATTAAAAGTGATATCACATTTACAAGTCAGTGATGTGACTCTGTCATAGAAATCAGCCGCAAGGAATTTTATTGGTTATTTGAAAAATATGTACATGAGTGAATCAGAAAAGATTGTAACCAGAGCTGGCAAAAGCCCTTTCAAAGACAATCTCAGCTAGTTAATGGTTCTGTTTTAGGATTTCCTCTGCAATACTTTTCCCTAGCATGTTCGGTTTTTGAAAAGGGGGAAGAGAGAAGGGGATTAAAGCATCCTGTTGTTTTAGAAACAACATTAAGGAATCTCAGTGCTTAAAAAAAATCTTCCCAATTATCAAATTCTATGGTATGTATATGGCTATATAGAAAGATCAAATTTGAAAGAAATCCAGTTGATTCAGTTGTTCACTGCCCTTCTTTCCTGTAATGTAGTTTCTGATAGATTTTGCAAATACTTTTAATTCACCATTATTTTTTCAAACAGAAGTTAAAGTGTGTTTTGCACTAGTTTGTGACTGCTTTTTCAAAGATTTGTTAGGGTGGAGAAGATAAAAGGAAATTATTAAGATAGATCCTAGGATGAAGAAATGAAATCATTGAGGAAATGTGCAGCAGCAGCCCAAAAAAACAACAAAATGTTGGACAGCATCAGAGTGGAAATTAAGACACAAAGCACCATTTTGCTTCTATATAGAACCCTAGTGATGCCGCTTCTTGAGCAGTGTTTAGAGTACCCAGAAAGAGCATAGCTGAATTACACAGAGCTGTAAAACTAAAATGATTAGAGGTGTAGGAGTAGTTGTTTTGTGAGGAGAGACTAAGGAGGCTGTGACTCTCCAGTGCGGAGAGGAAAAGACTGAGGGGACCTGTGAGGAATGTTTATAAAGTCATAAAAGCAGTGATAAAGCCAAATGTGGAGTTCAAATCCTGCAGTACAAGAAATAGGGGAAATGCAATGAAACCAATAGAAGATTGATTAAAAACAAAGAAAAAGAAATTGTATCTACATATCCACTGAATTTCTGGAATTTGCTGCCCCAGGAGGCTGTGCAGACAGGCAGTGTGAGCAGGGTCAAAGAAGGGAGTGGACGAATTCCCAGACGAGAACTGCAGGGATGGCTGCACAGGCACATTCCCACTAACATTCCCAGCGCAGCACCCGGGGCCTGGGCAGTGCAAGGGAAGGGGTTACAGGCAGCGGCAGGGCGCGTGATCGCTCGCTCTCAGCATCCTCCTGGTGCTTTCCGTGCCATCTCTGCAATGGTTTCTCATGCAAAACCCTGGGAACGTCACAGCCAAGGCTGGGCAGCCTTGGAGAGCTCATCTTAGCTCTGACCATCACAGAGGCAGTCTTTATATTGCTGACGCTTACTTCAACTTCAGTGTTTTATATAATGCAGCTGTCACTTCCATGACTCTAAGAAAAATATTCTTTCTGCAACGTAATATTTATACATTTCAGTTTACAATTTCCTTTTAGTCTTTTTATGTTTTTGCAATAGATTAATAATGCGTTCTATTTCATGTAATCATCATAAAATACTTTAGGGCCAAAGAGAACATTTTTGAGCATCAGTGCTCCAAACTGATGCTCAAACCAGTTCCGTTTAGCCTTTTTATTTCAAATATATTATTTAAAAGAGATATTATTGGATTTTTAACCAAAGATTTCTTGTAGATTCTTTAGAGTATAAGGAATGAGAGTTGTTTTTTTTATTATTTAAAAAAAGATTGTTTAAACTTAGACATGATTATTCCTTTTTTTCCTTCACATGTGCTTTTGCCACATTTTCTGCTGTGAGTCATCATTTCATTGGAACAGACACCTACTGTCTCTTCATGAGTGATTACTGTGTTACCTTGGCAAATTTTTGTATAATTCTCTTTTTTGACATCATGTTTTTATAGTGATTGTTTGTTGCCACTGAAATGGAAATAGTTGGGATACAGATACTGTAAGTTAATACAGTGTTTTCCTCGACAGGTTTCCAAGCAAGAACAGAAAAAAATGGATGTGTCTGATGGAGGAACGGCTGAAACTTCCTCGCGTTACAGTGGAGCACAGGACAGCGGAATCGGCAGCGACAGCGTGAGGATCCGAATAGTGCAGATAGAGCAGCACAGCGGCGCCAGCCAGCACCGCATCGCCCGCCCTTCGCGCCAGTCTTCCATCGTGAAGAACCTGAACTTCATCCCCTTCGACATCTTCGTGACGGCCAGCCGGATCTCCCTCATGACGTACTCGTGTACCGCCCTGCCTAAGCCGAAGGCCCCGGCAGCCCACAAGGATGGCGAGAAAACCAGCAGAAGCTCCTTGAACCTCCCGGAGGCGGGAGCGGGGAGCCGCCGCCATGGCGAGGAGGCCCCGCAGGAAGGCCTCTCCTCCGTCACGGCGGACGACCTGCTGCACAGCAGCGCTCCGCCGGCGGCGGGCAGGAAGCCCGCGCTCTTGTCCCTGGAAAGCCTGCACGCTTCCACGCGGTCGTCGGCACGGCAGGCCCTCGGCATCACCATCGTCCGGCAGCCCGGGCGCAGGGGCGCCGGCGACGTGGAGCTCCAGCCCTTCCTCTACCTCGTGGTCTCGCAGCCCTCGGTGCTCCTCAGCTGCCACCACCGGAAGCAGAAGGTGGAAATATCCATGTTTGATGCAGGGCTCAAAGGAGTAGCCTCGGACTACAAGTGTACGGGTAAGATTGCTCAGTTAGTTAGTTCATTCTTGGTAAGAACTGCCAAAATAACAGGACTTCTCACACTTACTGGAGCGGGGAAAAAGAACACAGCTAATGGACCACGAGGGTGTCTTTAAAAATCCATCAGTAAATAAATCAATCAGTAAATACAAGTATGTATAGGATTATACACCGCAGCTGAGTCAAGCCAAGTGTGTAAAATATTTGAAATGCATTAACATCTACCCTTCTAGCAACCAGTTCTTCCTCAATATTTCTGTCTCAGCAGAGCTTTGAATATGGATTGTTGCACTGCCTTAATGCTTCAGTGCTATCTGAGGAGCTAAGGGTTTGTAATTTGAGCAGATTTCATAAAAAGCATTTTTACGACTGAGAATTACAGTATCTTCTCGTATTAGCTTACTGATAAAATTTAAAGCAAAACCAAAAACACTGTAGAAGCAACTGGTGTTTTGATCATGAACTGTAAGAAAATTAGAGTGATCTTCCATATGGTGTATAATGATGCCATCTACGTTCAACTTTTATTCAGCTGAACAGTAGAGCTTTCCTTCTCTTAATTAATGTGTCCTTTTGTTAAGGTTTAATTTTTTTTATTTATTTTTTTTTTTTTTAAATTTCATACATAGATTTTATAGTCATCAGTAACTGCTGAAGAGGAAAAAAGTCTTTCTGAAAATTTCATTGTCTTTCTTACCTGCGCAACTGAGAAGTCAAAAGGTTGTGATTCTTTTGTCTGCCTGCCAGCACTGGGTATTTGACTTCAATGAGATAGATCTTTACTCTGCAGAATGTTACCAAAAATGTTCAGATGAGGATGCAGGGAACTGCTGAAAAAGCAGCCAGAATTGTGTGTTCTGTTAAGTTCCCCACTGAATGAGAGCTGCAGGTCAAAAACATAGCTAGTTTTTCTCTTGCCAAATTTCTTACAACACGTGAATTATGAAAAGTAGAATACTTTTATCTAGCTATATTGGATCTTTGCGGCCTGAGGTAGTGTCTTTTGAACATTGGCATTAAAGTGCTGTGTTAACGCAAAGGACTAGCAAATGTTGCTCTCAATGAATTTAAATGTTCTTCGGAAATCTTTAATAAAATTTCTTAAAATAGAGACTGAACAGAAAGAGGAAGAGTGGACAGATGAAGAAAAGAGACATAAAATAAGTTGAAGGCTTCTTATGTGCCTTTTTTTCATTCTTCCTTCCACTTTCATATTTTCCTACTGTTGCTCCCTTGTCTCAGGAGAAACAAAACTGCCTCATAAATTTCTTATTAGTTATTGTGGCAATTAAAAAACATGATATTTTACCATCTTTTCTGCTGATTTTTAAATACATGATTATGAATATTTGCCTGTGTACCATTTGTGACTCTAAGCAAAAAATAATATTGCATCAATAGAGCTTCAGAAATAAATTCCATGTCCATATATCATTAAATATATAGACAGAAATACAGTAATAAAGAGGAACTATTTTTATTGTCTAGATGGTAAATTCCATGTAACCAAGTCATTTCAGAAAATAGGATATATGGGGTAAAAGGTTTCACATTTTATTAGGTTATAAAATAAGATTGTTTTCCATCTCTCTGTATTGAATCTTATCAGTACATTCTCAGGTTGAGAATATAATCCCAGGCATATTTTGAACTACTGTTGTTGATGTGATTGGGTATTGTCCGTGGCTGATAAGACTAAGAAAAGCCTGAAGGAAAACACAGGAATAGTTGTAAGTTAGAGGTCACAACCTCATTGACTTGGTGTTTCGGAGAGGTGTTATTGAGCCTCTTCACATACTGTGTGTGAGGTATTTGAGTGTGTCCTTGTACAAGCTGCTACCACATTACCGATAAACCGGGCGCGATTCTCCATTCTGCTCCTGCAGGTAGAATCACAGTAAGAATCAGATTGCTCCCTGGTCCTTCCAGCAATCAAATATCCGTGTGTGCAGGTGGCTTTATTCTAGAAAAACAGTCTGTCCACAACCTGTAATTAAATCTTCCTACAAATTCAAAGTGACTCAGAGAGTCCAGAAACACGACAAGACATTTAAGTAATGAGGAGAGTGGGAGCATGTGGCCCGAGATGTTCAGTGAGACCTGCAGAGGCCTTGCAGGGGCACCAAGGATGCATGGATGTCTGTTTATTTTCGTTTTTTTTTCTTTTTTTTCTGTGTCCATGACAGGCAAATGTGCCTTTCCCTGCCATAAAGCAGTGTAGAGGCAGCAGTTGCACATTAGGGGATGGCAGAACTTCAGGTTCCATCTTGCGGCCTTTGTGGGCAGTAACAGTCACGTTTGTCAGATGGTCTCCTGTGCTGATGCCTAAGGCTCAGGGCTCCCCTCAAAAAACATTGAGAGAAGGAGGTGCCAAAGTTCTAATGCCTAAAAGCACTAAATAGATCTAGAGTTATTAAAAATAATCCATACTTAAAGGTGCATGATAATTCACAAAGCAAAATAGGTAATATAAAATTTTTATTGCCTCTTGTTTGGGAAGACCTGCTGTGCTTGAAATTGCATCATTAATGTTGTCATGCCACTGTTACTTTTGGAAATTTCTGTTTTTAATCTCTGTCACACATACTGGAGGGAAATCTGCCATTAGCTGCAATATGATATATAAAACAACATATTATGTGATATACCATCAGGAGCTTTGCACTGCATGTGCTAAGTTGCTGTAGTCAATTTGGTCAATCAGGCCAATTTTGCTTGATATTATGACTGCTCACTGACAATTTTATTGGAAAGAGATATATCATCCAACTGAAGAATGATAAAAAGGTTACTTAAAGAAATAAGCTGGCTTCTTTCCCTCTGTACAACAGCTTTGTACTAAACTCTTACATTTCTCTGTATGTCGAGGACTGTACGATGGGAAGGGGCAGAAATGGTGTTTAATTTACAGGGAATGTCACAACAGAATGGGAACAGCACGCAAGTTAAACAGACATATAAGATGTATTTAAAGTAAATTTTAAGAATTTATGGAATACATTCACTTTTCAGAAACATTTAGGCAGTGGAACTGAGCAGTCAGGCCTGGTGAGAACATTGTGTATGTTATAACTGATGGTAGAGATGGGCAACACCACAGCCTCAGCTTTGGAGGTCAGGGCAAATTTCATCACAACTTGAAAAATTTAGCCTTGTCTGGGAGAGTGAGATGCTTTCATGATGCATTACCTATAGTAATCTGGTCAAGCTTATATAGTTAAGCTGTATATGAACTTGGTTACTTAGACTCAACTAATAACAACTAATAACTAGTTGGTAATAACAACTCTGCCATTTCAAATCATCACTGTGTGTAGGTACAGACCCTATATGCCACATACAAATATTTTAGGAATGTTCTCGTGCATTTGGAAGAACTGTTTGGAATGTTGTGTGAAAGTAAAGACCTGACTACTGTTAGTCCAACTGAAAGGGACTAGGTATTAGGAAATACTGTGCTTTTGTGAAAGAAAAAGAAACCTACAGCTTTAAAACAGTTCCTTCACGTCTTGAAAGGTAGAAGCAAGTGTAAGATTCTGTTATGAAGCTACAAGTGTCTTATTTGTTGACGTAAGATAGCTCCAAGGAAAACTCTAGGATAAAGAAAAGTGAGTAGTAGTTTAGACCTAGTTTTGTTTTCCATCAAAACAGTTGTTCCTGGGCTGGTGACAAAACCAAGCTCGCTGCCTTATAGTAACCTACTACTTCCAACATATGCAGTAATTAAGATTTTGATGTTGATATGAAACTACTCACATTTTAATTGAAATACCCATTTGGTTCTAATTTTTGAAGATAATAGAACAAATGCAAATAGATGCAAATAGTACATAACCAGCTTTATTCATTTATACGAGAGAGAATTGCGTTGGGGCTAAGCATCCAACTTTTCGTCTGAAGCACTTGGCTCCTTTATTCACTGGCCATGTTGTTTTTTGTTTACTTTGTGAAAGTTGAAAAAAAGAGAATTTAAGAAGAAAAGAGGAGGAAATTGACTATTTAAGAGTTAAATACTGTTAGGATGTTAATTAGCAATTAGTAGTAGCACATTTCCAGCAGGCTAGGGTCTCTGTAAGGGAGCACTTGCCTTGCTCGAAGCCAAAGACTAGTGGTTGTGCTTTCAATTTCCTCAGCCTTCCTTTCAAACCTTGTCCCCTGGAAGTCAGTTTGTAGGAGGAGGGAGCTTATTAGGATATTATACTGTAGGCTGGTTGTGCTCCACTGCTTCATTTGTGTTTTAAATTATTTCTGTAATTGCACAGCTTGATTGCAATTATGTTACTTAGCACCAGGGATGGGAACTTCAAAACAAAGTAAATAAATTAATGGAATAAATATTAGCTGCTCAGTAAATGTCGTTCAAAAGAGTAGCTTTTCACTGGGCTGACTTGTACGATTCTATATAAACAGCCTAAAAGATACTGTAAAACAACCTTTTCATTCAGTGCTCATCCTGTGTTTTTAACAAAAGTGGCATCTGCTAGCCATTAGTTTTGGCAAATAGATCATTGGCCATTTCCACTTAAATAAAAGTGGGTGCAATTGTTTTTAATGTAATCTCATAAGCCACTTTTATAAATATTTTTTTTAAATCTTTATTTGCTTTGTTTCAGGTAATGTAATCCAGATACAAAATTGCCTCATTTCCTGAGCATGGTGCTCTGGGCATTCTTGAAAAATATTCTTTCTATTTGTTTGTTTGTTTATTTTTAAAGAGGAGATTGTGCGGCTTGGTCATTTGGAAGGGGAGAAACTTCCCCATGAATATTTGTTGTTATGCATGGAATGTCTTCAGCTTCCTCCCGTGAAACATTGTGGCCATTGTGAGGCCATCTAAAATTATTCCCCATTTTTTTTTAATTTTTTATTTTTTAACGCCCACGCCTTTGATGGCAGGGCGTCCGTAAAGAGCAGAGGCAGTAGCCGAGGGCCCGTGTAACCTCTGCTCACGTGGAGGAGGGAAGTGGGCTGGATGCATGAGGAAATCTGCTGCCTCGCTGTCGCCTCGCGCTCCCGGCGACGCGGAGCGGGGATTTCGGGCCGTTTCCTCACAACCCGCTGCGGGAGCTTTGCTGGAGCGGCCCCTGTGGCCCCAACGCCACCATGCTCGGGTGTTCGAGGGCAGGGCCTCAGCGGCAGCGCGGGGCTGGCGCAGGAGGCCGCATTGCTCTGGTGACACCAGGCGCTCCTCTGTCTTCCTGTCACAGCCCCTGGGATTGCGCTTCCGGAGATGTTTCCCCATTTGGGTTCCTTAAATACCAGGGAAAATCATTCTTAAAGTGAGCCCAAGAGGGATGGCAGCGCCGTGCTGGCCTGCAGGAGCGGCCCTGCCGGAGCAGCGCCATGAGGAGCGCGCGGCCTCGCGCCGGCCGCCCCACACCGGCTGAGCGGCCTGTGCCCCAGGCCCTGCAACAAAACCACAGCCAAAAGAGTAAAAACCTCCAACATGGGAAATTTCTCCTGCCTCGTCCCTTGCCCTTCGTGCTAGTCTCCTCTCTTTTCTGAAATTGCTTTCCTCCCAGTTCACAGCAAGTAAACAATTGCATAAACCGTGAAGCTTTGGACCTGGGGTGTGGAACTTGAGCTTAAACATGGGTGTTTCAGGGGGAAAAAAAATAGCCGGAGATTTATTTTTTTCCTTTCATTCTACTGAAAAAAAAGAAAAATACTGATATATTGTGGAAGATATTCAAGGCCTCCCAGCTTCTCAGTCTCACTAATTTTGAAATAGTCCTGGCTGTCAATCTGGGGTAGTTGTCTCACCATTTTGCTTTTGCTGCCACAGACAAATTTTTCACATCGCGTGGAGGATAGAATTTCTGGCCCCCTTCGCCGCTCTTCACTTTTCAAGCTTTTCTTCTCTCTCTTTTGGCTTGCTGTGGAGTAATTCTACCCTCTCCTTTTATTTATATATGCATCCCTTGGGTTTTCTCCAGCATTTTCTTTATACAAATAACTGCAAATTTAAGTGTTGATTTTTGGGAGAATCATAGAAAATGGAAATGGGAATGACCTATTATAATACATTATTCAGACCAGTTCCCTGCTGATGCATAATTGTTCCCTATTGTATATTTTATGGTCTTCTGTCAAGTGTATTTTTAAACATTCTGAACATTTCCATCATTTCCTTGAGGGAGAAGAGTCCTTTTTCTAATAGATTGCGCCATCAGGAATTCCTTACTTCCTAGCCTAAATTTTCCTTTTCACTCTATTGCTTCCATGGTATTATTTATGCCCTGGGCACCCCACATGTTTTATTCCTTTCTTGATCCTTAATGCTTTGAAAATGCTGTTTTCTGCTGTAGAAAATGTTTCAACAAGATAAGTTGTTTTATTCTTTTTACCTTTTATGTGAATAAATTTGTCCTAGGCAGATGCATTTTGTGGCTTCTCCATCAAACTCCATTCAAGTTTTTGAGACACACACCAGAACAGTCAGTCTCTGGGTTTCTTCTAGCTTTCTTCTCATTATGTAACAACTAATTTATTGATCCACATCTGGCATACTTGGATGTACAGTTAAGTCTGCTGTCCAGGTTCCAAATTGACTGTGCCATGGACGTGGAAAGCTCAAGCAGTTCTTTGCATGGCCCCTCAGATTTATTACCTTGCATGCCAGATTGCATGAATACAAGTATCCTGATTCTAGAATTGTCTCAATTTCAGGATAAAGCAGTTGTTTTGTGTTTTGGTGGTAGGGTTTCACCTAAACTAAAAAAAAAAAAAAATGGATTGAAACCTATGGAGCAAATGCTGAGTCAAAAGTAATATATTTTGTTGGTTATTACTGTGCCCTGAGGTGTCTTTGTTTTGTGTTCCTATTCCGTAAGTGCTGGAGTCTTCCATTATTCATGCTCTACTGCAAGTAATGGAGAGAGGACAGTGCTGGACTCTTTGGACTCATGACAGACCAAATTTTCTGAAATTCCCCATTCCATTTTTTGATTCTCTGCTTTGGTGCTGTAATTCTAAGCACCCTGAGGGTTGTGTTTGTACAGCTAGTGTATCCTGTCATGCAAGAATTATCTGCTATGTAACTTCCTTTCATCAGAGCTATTTTATCTTTAAACAGTTACATCTTTTAATAATTATTAGGTATTTAATATGATAAACACATCTTAGGAGAATAGGAAAACCAGTTGATATATTCTGCAACAGAAATATTTGGCTAATTTTACTGGATTTACTAGAAAAAACAGTGGTTAGACTAGGCTACTATATGCAGTGTCATCAGAAATGAGACAAAATAATGGCATACTGAAATATTTTTCACCTGCAGTCAGGAACAATAGCCTAGATCAATTTAATTGATCCAGTGACATTCATTGCACAATGTTCTGTAAGTTTTACAATGATTTTCACTATATGCTCTAAAAATGTAGGTATATTAATTGTTTATCATACGCCACCAGCACAAAGCAAGATATTGTGGCATGGAACCAAGTCAAAGATAACATTCATAGTCACAACAACACCAAGACTATATTTTTTTAAAAAAATGTATAGTTCAGTAATAAAGAATTTTTTGAATTATTATTTTCAGTATGTTAGACAAACTCTTGATAGAAGGTCCTGTAGAAAAGGGAGTGTGACATACCATTCTGGTTAGTGTAATTAAAGAAAAGGGCCAAAAACTGTAAAAAAAATGTTTAAATTTCCATGGAAAATATACAAATCTGTTGTATGTAGTGACAGCTCTTAAATAACTGTTGAGAGCTGACTTTATAAATGTGTAGTGGGAATAAAGTGAAGGAAAGGCTGTAATGTATATGCCATGGAGTGCAAATATTACCACAAAGTCACTGCCTGAAAATTGATCAAATAAAACCAAAAGAATGTGCTAACTTTTGATGTTTTCCATATAGATCTAAAGTCATGATCAATCGATTTCAGTAGGTTCTTTGAAATCACAAAAGGGTTCATATGTGCCAGGTTTTATATGAATCACATGATAAGGTCAAGAAGCACAAATTCCAAAGCTGACTTTATATACCCAGTCCACAGATGACTGTGATGCCACGTTACCATATGTTGACTGTAATAGTGAGTTTGTAAATACTGCTCTCTAAAGATATCCAATCAGTAAGTCTCAGTTAGTTAAATAAAACAATTAGAACAAATTTTAAAAGACTGAAAATGGGAAAGATGAGATTTCATTAAGAAATTCTCCTTAAATCTTTAAGGATAAGGCAGGCAGTCTATACTTAATGCAGTAATCTTGGTCCTAAGGAATAATTGAGCATTTAGAATTTAGGATGTGCAATGCCAGAATTCAGGACTATTACAGCCTTTGTACAGTGCTGTTTTTACCATCTGTGATATATAGAAAATGAAGAAATGCATAGCACTCGGAGGAAATGAATTTTCATGTCTTTTATAATATTATGGGCTGATCAAAGTAATTCAGGATTATATAAAAGTGTAGCTACTGATTTTTAAAAGCTAAACATAGAATCATAGAATCGTTAATGTTGGAAGGGACCTCCAGAGATCATTCAGTCCAACCCCCTGCACACACAGGGACACCTGGAGCACATGGCAGATGGTTGATGTCACTGCGTTGTCGCTATGCTCTGTCCTCAACATTCTCACCTTTTAGCCTTCATAATTTGTATTTCTGTTACTATTTTTGCTACTTGGCAGTGAAAATATGGTAGCAACTTTTAAGCAGTGATTCCTTTGCAAGCACTCTTTAAGTGTCATCATGATTAATGCTAAAATTATGGGCCATTAAAAGTCATCATGTGGCAGGTGTTATTTTCTACTCATATTTTACTTCCTACTTTTTGCAGGTTTTCTGTGTTGAGCACAATTACTGCTGTGGCCTGTATGCATATGTGTGCCAGCATATGTATGTCTGCCTCGCCTGCACATGCACTTCTGTGGGTGCAAGTGCTGTGTCTAACAGGAGTATTCTGAATACCAACCACTGTATATGTATTTTGAGCATATTAATTTACTTAATTTTGTATGTAGGGTTTTGTTATATATCCCAATTCTGGAGTATCATTACTGAGTATGATCCTTGTCACCTGCAGATCCTGGCAAGACTCTACCAGAAGCCCTGGATTATTGCAGGATTTGGATGCAGACAGTAGCGGGAGAGGTGGACACCAAGAGCGGCATTCCACCTCCTCTTGTCACAGTGCAAATTAAAGACTTCCTTAATGGACCAGGTAAGCCTTGCACTTTCATCTCTGCTTTTTAATGTGATTTATTCCTAGATAGGCATACAGAGACTTGTTCCTAGATAGGCGTACAGAGACATATCAGTTCATTAGATTATCAGAAAAAAAAAACCCCAAAAGTTGTATTCTGTGTTGATGAGGGGGAATTCTCCTCCAGCAATTACCCTGACCTGAGGTAAGAGTGGAGAAATAGTGAGATCTGGACTGACCTTACATGGGTTTAAAGCTTGACTAGTTGTTTTCTTTTTTAGGCTAAATCTAGAAATCTTATTGCTTTAGAAGTCTGAGGTTGGCAAATTTCCAACAAAACGAAAACTACCTGATTCTAGCCCTATACCAATTGCAGCTTCAAATATTACTAAAGTTATGTTTTACCAAACACAGGCAGCCAAGGCTGCCTTTGACCTTGTTTCTGAAGATTTTTATCAATCTTTTTCTCTTGGGTTCATTGGATCCTGGGTACCAGCCATTACAAATTCATATCACCTAAAATGTTGGTACTGTAAAACTGAAAGAATGTTTGTACCATATTTGTGTAACTAACACAGTATAAGTGGTGTGGTATATTAGCATTTATGTAGAATAATGTAAATGACCTGAAGTTTCACTCCTGAGGAATAACTCTTGCAAGTAAATGTACATTATACATTCTCTGTTTCGTGAGTTCCATGTTTATAATTCCATTGCTAATTTAGAATATAAAGTTACATTTAAAGTTAGAAAATATGCTTAACTTTTTTCTGTGGTGTCATAATTCACCTATTGTTTGTATTTATTGCAATTTATTGAACTATGCTGCTTTATTTTCTTGAAGAGCCTTACTTCACTCAGCACGCAGAATGCTCTGTTATCTGTCACTGAGTGAGCAGCTTCTCAGGACTGTTTTTTCCTGCTTATTCACCTCCCTATACAGGCTAATGCATTATTTACAGCACGCCGTTTAAACTTGGCTCTACAACAAAGTATTTTTTTCTGATGTATTGCTCAGTTCTCTAAGATCTGAAATACTACAGATATACCAATTTACCTGCACAATCTTTCCATGAGTGATGGATTAATATGCCCTGTGCAGTTCACAGAAGGCAACTCAGGAAAATGAAAGTTTAGAGAATTTCGTTTTCTGAGGTATTTAGAAAAATGTAGAAGTTCAGATGCTGGAAGCACAGTTACTTCTGCCTTTCGATAAATCTGTGATCACTTCTGCACATAAAGTTGGGCCACCAGAGAAGGAGGAATACAGACTGACCAGCTGAACAGGAAGACTAACTTGCAGATCCGTTTTTCTACTCAGGCAGGACTTTTGAGGAAAGAATAAGTACATAAACAACTTCAATATTGCCTTTTTTATTTTTCTTTAGTTTGCTGTGCTGCCTTAAAAGCACTCTTTTAATACAAGATTTTAAAAACACTTACCTATGCAGAAGTTTCGTAATATTGGTCCCTATTTGGGGGATTTTCCTTCAGACCTACTGCAAGTTCTACTGCCATTGGAACTAACAAACTAATTGATAGGAATAGTGGATTTTCATTCTAAGCATGACCCACATAGGAAGGGAAAAGATAGCTATCATCAGTGATGTTAGAGGTACTTAATGAAAGCAGAGGAATATTAGGAGTCAGGATTCTGGGGTTGCAGTCCAAAAGCAGAAAGGAAATGAGTGTTGTCTTGGTCACTGCTGCCAAATTGATTTTATTTTACCTTTTTTTTTTTCCCCCCTCAATTTTCCCAATCCTCTGTCTCCACAGCTCTGGCACATTTTCAAATTCTCAGTGCCCTGTCTCTCCATTCCCCATTTCTCAATTTTCTCACTGTAGTTTTCTGCTCCAGCCAGTATATTTAATTATTCACTTGAAGGTGTTTCCTTGATGGCATTCTCTCAGTAGAGCAGTCTTCTAACTGAACCAGCAGAGAAGGATGTCTGTGGCATTGCAAGCCAGCTCAGTGTATTGATGAGTGGTGTGAGTTCCTACCCCACTCTCAACAATTTCGATCCTGAATCAGTGTTAACGCTCTCCCCTCCACAGTATTTGGCTAAATAAGGAACTGAAAGCAGTAAATTAATACACTGTAAACTTCAGGCTGCTTCCTGTTCTAAGGCATATATAACTTCAGAACCTTCCTCCCAGATCTCTTCTGAGCTAAGAAGCATTCGTTTTTGTCATTTCTTTCCTGCTAATTCGAATGACCATTAAACATGACTCAAAAGTAATGACCCTGAATTTCAATAAAGTGTTTTAGCAGGGTCCAGAACAAAACAGAGCTGGATTTCTTTGGAGATTTTTATAATCCCCAGTATTATAACAGGAGATCATCTCTGAATAAACTAGCTTTAACCAAAAAGCATCCTGTGGGGATTGGAAGTTCCACTGGATCACTAGTGACAGACATTTTGCATCAGGGTAGCACACGCAAGAATGTTATGGATGCTTTGCAACTCATTAACAGACTACTGGAAAAAAGTTATTAACTGTACTGGGAGGAAAAGGTCTGACCTCTAACCAAGGCTTCTTCCAGGGTGAGGTAGCTCCTAAGTATCGGGTCCAACATAGCCCACAGCTGTTCATCAAGGACAGGAACCTCAGGAAACCTCTTCACAACTCCTGTAAGGTCAACAGACAAGTGGCATTTGTGACTGCAGACGTGATAGCTAATAAACTGAATAAGCAAATTCACTGCTGGAGTACCTGTTCTTAATGTGCATGTCTCTGTCAAAGGCCTGCAGCTTTCCTGTGCACGTTTGCCAAGTAACAGTGCTGCGCTTCTGCATATTTTCTAAGGACATGCTGCGTATTTTTGTTCATTTGTGTACGTGAGTTTTATAATTACAATAGGCAATTTTTTAATATAAGGGGTTGCAATACATACTAATAGATGGTAGCTGTTGAGGGTTGAGCTGGTCTGCTTCTCTGAACATTTTCAAAAGTTATGTGGACAAAAATCTGGATATAGCAGTTGTGATGCTAAGAATACAGTTTTCTCTTGGATTTCAGTATTCGAAGTTCAGTGGTTTAATCATAATATCATTTTTCTTCAGAAATACTTTGTTGGCATGCTGAGGTTAAATTTCAGATGTGAGGGTCAAACATGCCTGTGTTTTATGATGCAAGCTATTATACGAGCAGTTAAAACAGAAAAATCTGCAAATGGTCCCCAGCGTTTGCTACCTTAAATAAAATCTGTGGTCCTTGTAAATAGTTTGTCAGTAAAAGTAGATAAGTAGATAGTGTTCCACAGAAAAATTGTATACTTTCACCGCACAGGAAACCAGGTTGTCAGTCTGTATTAACTAGGAGATCAAAAAACTACAGCAAGTAGCTAAACTTGGAAACCACTAATTAAATGGGAATAACAGGATACATTAATGCACTTCTTGCCACATGGGTTGATTATTTTGTACATTTTTGGCAACTAAAGAAAAATGATATTTCTTCCAGATTTTAGGTAATAGGATCCTAGGAGAAATAAGCATTCATCATCAGGCCTGTGGGAACAGACCTCAACTTTAACCCTACAGTGTATTAAAGGACTATTCTTTCTCTTTCTGTAGTAACTAACTATTTAAAATTTTTTAAATTCCATCGCCATCAGTGTGCACAACCCACTCTCTTTTATATTCCATTCAGTCCAGTGACTACTGGATTCTAAATTTAATTCTTCTCAAATACATATGAATGAACTATTATTGCTTCAACATTAAATATAATTCGTTGGGTGAACAATAAATATGACCAACTTGCTGCAATTCTTTTTATAATTTGTTATTTTTGTCTACTAATTCTTTCTTTAGAATTTTCTAAAAAAAAACTTTTTGGCTTTAAAAGCTGTCTTCTGACATATTTTTTTCTGCGTGTGATACAGGACATTTCATTAATTCATGAAGCACAGCTTGCAAATTGCCTTAAAACACTTATACAAGCAAAATATAAACATTTTATGCCAAAATCCCCTTCTTCCAGCATTTTCTTGGAAAGAGGTTAGGTGTGAAATAACTCAGATCCTTGATATTTTGCCATTTGAAATCATTTCTGTAGGACAGACTATCCAGACAAACTATGAGATGCCATTTCCCGCTGGATGATGAAGCAGGAATTTGGGCTGTTCTTTTTCTGCCGAGCCTTTCCCCAGTGCTGCTGGGGCACTGGGAGAAGCGCTGCACCGTGGCTGGAGTTGCACATAAAAAGGAGCAAACAAAGCTGCCCCAATAGCTCTCACTTCAAGTTTTTTTTCTCCTTTCCAAAGGCAACAATCGTATCCATTAGCAAGGTCAGTGGCTTGGAGAAACCTGGAAAATAGCAGCTACCAGAAACCCACTAGAATAATATCTCCAGCAGGTGATAGATTAGTTGGAACAAATTGGAACCATTGCACTTCAGCCATCCTGGTTTCTTTCAAGCTGTTTTAAAAATGTCGTCATTTTAATACACAGTATCAGCCCTGCGGAACAGTCCACAGCAGGTTAATTTGAATCATATGATGTATCACTGCCCTCAGCTGACATGAGCCCCGTTCCATGTGTGAAGCCATAATAAATCCATTCCCAACCGAGGCAAATTCCCTGTGAGAAGGTGAACTAATCCAGGCCTCACACTGGCATGTTAGCCCTCCATAATTGAAAGCAGGGCCACCTGTTCCCAGCACAGTTAGCCTATAGAGAGAAAATTAGCATTAGATCAGATACTTAATATATTGAAAAATCATTCATACGACTCGCAAGTTCAGCTGTGGGCTGCTTAGCATGACATCATATATAAACCTAGGAATGTGCCCACTTGATCCCAGTTTAACAGTTTTGTTAACCATGGTGTTTGTTAACTTTGAAATGAGAATTTTTTGATTTAATGAGAGCTGACACGTGAGAAGGGGAACTAGCCAGGGTGCAGACTTTTCTAATTAACTCTGGGTCATTTGCAAAACTTTTGAGCTTTCTAGTAGGTTTTTTTTCTCCCTTTGCTCTTTTACAAACAAGTTTTTAAGGCACTGACACTGT